GCATGAGGTCTCTCATCTCATCTCAGCGGGATGATAGCTTTGAAACCTAATTACAGACACTTAAGTGCCAACTTTGTTAATCATTTCATTGCAGAGTACTACACAAGAAATATCAGCTCTAAGCAGTGTGGTTGGATTTCCATTCTCTTGCCAGATCCAAAGTTCTTTTCCTTTATTGGAAAATCTTTCTGAGCAAAAAGGCAACAACCTCTCAGTTTTCAAACTGAAATTTTAAAAAATGCAAATTATTTATGATTATGATGATTCTCCGTTTGCGGTGCAATGAAGAGCTTGTAAGCGTTAGTCAAACTGAAAAGGAAGAAAAAATGATGGTAAAAATAAACAATTCAGAGAGAATTTATCAAATACAATGAGTTGGTGTCCAAAGTGGTAGGACCAGGTATAGGGATGCACCTAAGTGAGGGACAGAAAGGCACTGGAGTTTGAAGAGGCAGTATGGGTGCCAGTAGGTGGATATGTTGTTAGGTCTGAAACGACAGCGGCAGCTCATCTGTTGATAATTGTGGAAACAAAGGAACAAGATTCTACCCTTTTCTGAATAACGGGAAACCGCTGAAAGGGAGACTGAAAGATGGTCGTATTGTCATGTTGCCAGGAGCAAGATAACAGGTTTTCTTGGAGTACTTTGATTCCCTGCAGTTTGGAAAGAGAAGGATTTAATTAGAGAAATCTGAGCTAAAGCTCTTAATACAAATGCCCATTATGAGGACGGTGCCAAACCAGGACTTTGCCATCTGCACCTGAGTTCAGAAATAGAACCTTAACATCGTTGCAGCAAAGTAGAATTCTTGCATCATCTCATGTGCAATGAGGAGTCCCACTGATTAAAAGGGTTGGATGGATAAGGTGCAGTCTGAAAAATAACAGCTGCTCTTCCAGGCTTGAGTGTGGTCTTCATGGGATGCAACTGGAGTTGGAGGTGTGGGTTACAGAATGAGAGCAAAGTTTGGGATGTATTGCTGTGATGTAAGAGTCAAGTTAGGCTAACGGATGTTGGAAAATGCCCAACATATATTAGTCCGTGTTACTTCTGCCAACATCATGACAGAGATGACACAGAGAAGATAAGTGGAAAAAACCAAGGCAATAGATGAAGAGAAGAGACAGTGTCACGTGAAACTCTGTAATGGAAATAACAGGTCAAGATGTAAAGTTTCAAACAGATGTGGAAAGGGGAGTTAATTGTATTCATGTGGGAAACTTCAATGAAATCCAAGTATGAGTTTGTAAGGTGGGGTGTTGATGGAGGCCAACACTGACGGGCAATGCCGTGACATAATTTAATCTGCTCAAATCGATGAACACAGGTTTAGTCTTTAGGTATTGTGATGTTCATGTTTTCATCGTGTTACCGTGAACATTCCTTACTCTGTGGTTTGTAGGATGTTGCTGTCTTCTTAAAAAGAAGCCTGATGGTGATGAAGGCTTTCAGTACAGTAATAATTATTGCTACTCATATAGCAGTGAAATTTAGAGGCAGGATTGCTAGAACATTGTGCCTTTTCATCTGTGGGACAAATACTTTGAAAGCATTCTTTCTTGAAACTTATCTATGTAAATATATCTACATGCTAAATAAATATGGAAGCAACTTAGTTATACCGATATGAAATTGCTATAACTACAACTGTAGTAATTAAATATCACTAAAGATCTCAAGGTATTTTGATTCCCCTTTCCCTTATGTGAGTAGGTTGACGTGAGCCATGGCAGCGCAAATCTGTATTTCAGCTTGAAGGAAGTTAAGATGGGGGCTATGAAATTCATGTGCAAAAATTGTGGGTTCTTTTGAGTGCTTAGGAAGCTGCAGCTGACCCACAGAACTAGTGATTTACTCTGTCATCTAGTCAGGGATGCTTGAGTGTTGCTGAAAATCCATAGCTGCTATGAAGGATAACAGAAAATTAAACATCTTTTCTCACGTCGAAGTTTTGTATGCAAGAAACTACAGGCATGTGGGGGGAAAAATCCTAAAAAAAAAAAAAAAAATTGTCACCAATTTTCTTCTGGAATTGTAGAATCCCTGAGCATTCTCTTGCTAAGAAATTTCAAGATATCTTAAGAGTTAATTTTTTAATGAATCTGTTATGTAGTGGTTCCCCATTGTGTTACTCATGTGGAAAGGAATGTTTATTCTTTGTGTGCTGAGAGCTTTTCCTCACCCTTCAGTGTAATAAGTGTGGAGAGGGTGAACTTCTTGGAATCCATTGTATTCTTATATAGTGAAAGTCTTCTATTAGAAATACTGCACGGTTTGGTTTTTTTTTTTTTTTTTTTACATTCTGTAATTTGACTAAAAGCAATTCAGAAAATATGAAACCTTTTCCCCTTAGTTATTCCCATTTTTTGTCTGCTACGCTGCCTCAGAACAGAGGCTTGAGGAGGTGGCATTTACGGTGTAGCATCTGCTTTCAGGCAGAACGTCATCAGTTGACAAAACACCAGAATGTAGCAGCGTATTGACTAGTTGTTCATTTTAACCCACTGACACCGACTACGGTACACTGGGAGAATGCCTCAACCAGACCAGGCTTTGAGACATTCCAGCTGTGTTCGATGGCTGTGCTGGGGGATGAGGGGGCCCCGTTCCCTGTGGTCTCTTGTATTTCTGGTCTTTTCGCTGCCGATAGGTGCGGAGCTTTTGGTTAGCGTCAACTGCCGAATGAAGTTATCTCTTGTTATACAAGTGGTGATCAGCTCTGTGTTCCGCAAGGGAGTGACTCTCTGAATGCAGCCTCCTATCAGAAGGACTTTGTTTTTTCTCTCCTTCTGTCTGCTTTGCAAGTAAATTGTTCCTTCCACAGACCCATGTGGCTTGCTTCCCTCGCCCTCGGTGACAGCAGCGCTTGCTGGTTGGTGATCTCTGCAGGGGTTTGTAGCTCAGCTCTGCTGTTCTCTCCCTCTGTTCCCACTTCTCTGTTCTCTCCCCTACTGTGACTAAATAAATTACCTGTATGACATGTTCAGTTTTCTCTGGCAAGAAGCCTAGGAAATCAAATCTGTTCCCGAACCTGGGTCTCCCGTTTGGCAAATGTAGTGCCTCCCTGCTGTTAAATCAGGTCAGCTCTCAGAAAAAAAAAAACCAACAAACCAGTTTCATATAACTATAATCAACACAGAGTAAATTCAGATAATTCAGCTGACATATGTTTATTGTAAAGACCATCAAGGAAATAATTTTAAAAGCACTTCATGTTGCATTAGGCTACATGTTGAGTGTTCTGTATATAGAGAAGATCAAACATTTTCTTTCTGTTATCCTGTATCAAAGTGAAATGTATTTGTTTTCTGTTGGGTCTAAGAAGATACTTTGGTTAAACATTTCATTGGTTGCATTAGAAACAGTTTTATGTATTTTGATTACCGTAGCTTAACGTAATTAATATTAATTTATAATTAACTGTTAGTTACTATTAATTATTCAGAACCTGCCCAGTCCCTTGGACTTTTTGGGCTCTGAAAGTGGAGAGAAAAGTCTTTAGAGGAATAATAAATCCTCTTATTCCATAGTCCTCATTTTTCTCCCTTTCTGCTCGCTCTGTTCCCCCGGAGATGGGAGGTGGGCGGTCAGTAGGAGGGTGGCAGCCTCTCCCTCCTGTGTTGCCAGCCCCGACGTGTGCCCCAGCCCCATGGCTTGTGCCCTGCGTGTGCCCCCTGCTCGCCCGTGTCGAGGCAGCCACCGTCTGTGGGGGAAGCACCAGTGCCAGAAGCCTCCCAGCTCCAGCCGAATTCCCTGCTCAGCTGCTCTCTGAGTTCCACCCCAGAGGCTCTTTTGTTTATCCGCTGTTACAAGCTGACCTGGACTGCACTGGGACTGGGGAGCATCTCCAGTCTTCTCCTGTCCGGCTTTCTTATGGTGGGTCTCCATCCCGAGGAAGCAGAGTGGCTGTTTTTCTTGGGGCAGGCTGTGCTTGGGCAGGTGGTTGCTCAGGCAGAGCTGCTGAAACCCTGAGCTCACCCCCAGCCCTCTCAGAGGGAGGAGGAGGAGGAGGTGCCAAGTGCCCCTGGAGGACCCTCCAGGCGGGTGCAGCACCAGCCTGTGAGCACTCCCTGTGCTGAGCTCCCAGCGGCCGACTTCGTGCCACTTATTATCCAAGGGGATTAGTAAAAAAAATGGGCATCAACAGCTGCTTTATAGTCTTACACAGTCTTCCCACCACCACCACTGACTAAATAGCTGCTGAATGATAGCTGGAGGCCTTGGCTGGAAGCTTTTTCCAACCCCAGGTGAATACCAGGTTGTCTTCCCTGGAGGAGTCCTGGGAAGATGGAGCTGTCTGAGCGGCTCTGCCCAGGGCTGCCCGACCCACGGGCCGTTAGGACTCACCTAACACCTTGTGCTCAGAGGTAGATGGCCTCAGTACGTGCTGTGCTTTCAAAGAGTATGTGCTTTTCCAGATCTTTTTAAAGACAGCTACAGTGTTGTTAATAATCGTTTAGTCATTCCAGAGTTTGCCTTTGTTCTAACAAGTGCCTTTGTTTCTTCGCTGCTCTGAGATGCATAGTGAATGCTTTTTCATCAAATTAAAAATCCTTCAAAACTCTGTTGTATGAGACAAATCCTTGAACCTCAAAATGCTCTTTATTTTCTGAAGTCTTCATCCAGTGTGCGCAATGCAGATTAAGAGGGCAAAGCAGTGAAGTGGGCTTTAAAAAATGGGAATCCAGTGCCTTCTTCCTCCAGGAATGACCTGAAGCAAGGGCCATAATCTCCATCTGCAGTGGCTCCTGCCTGCAGAAGTGACAGCAGTAGTGTTATCTGTCCTCAACTTTGTCTTATCAGTACAGGTTGCAGATACTGTCTGCTTCTGTAAAGGTACAGGATGTAACTCTGAAACGTTTCAGCTTGTGCTGTAATAGAAATAATTTCAGCTCTGTCAATGGTGAGGGTAAAGCCTGTCTTGTTCCTGTCGTAGCAGCTAGGTTGGTCAAAGTAGTTGTTAAGCTTGTTCTAAGCCTTTCTTTCTTGTCTTCTTCAGCCTGTGACCTGATGACCCTGGGGATCTTAGCCTTAGTGACATCCACTGGCTGTGCCTCGGCCAACGCCCTGCAGTCCCTGACGGATGCCATGCACATCCCACACCTCTTTGTACAGCGCAACACGGGAGGCTCCCCGCGCACGGCCTGCCACCTGAACCCCAGCCTGGAGGAGGAGGAGTACACGCTGGCCGCCCGGCCGCCCGTCCGCCTCAATGACGTGATGCTGAAACTGGTCACCGAGCTGCGCTGGCAGAAATTCATAGTGTTTTATGACAGTGATTATGGTAAGTGAAGTGGAGAATTTCAGATGCTATTAAATTGATTTAATTCTAACTGGGAGACGGGGAGGAAAATATAAAGGGAGGGGTGGATTATAACCTGGGTTTTTCATTGACAAAGAGGAAAGAGTTTCAAGAGGATGCAGGTCTTTGGTTTGAAGGAAAGGTTGCTGTGAAAACTAGTTCTCAGACAAGCAGCAAAGTTGCTTAGCAACACCAACCAAGACAGCCAAAGTTTGAGTCATCTCACACTTTTTCAGTAAAATATTAATAAAGTGTTGACATTGGTTGGCAAGGGGTCACGAAGCTGTGCAAGGAAGTTCAACATGGCCTCTACCCATTCCCAAAACCCACTTTCTATAAAAGCTGAGTATTGTTCTCTTTAAAAATTAATTTTCACAATAACTATTACCATTTTTTTTTCACATGCTTCCTCACGCTATTCTCCGTTTGGACTAAATTTCACAGTGACATACTTCCTGGCATCAAACCAAAAAGTAGAGTTAGCATTCTCACTGCAGCTGATGCATTTCCTTCAGCAAAATTTTTACTTTGGGCTGAAACTTGAAGAAAAGGAGTCTCTACCCAAGCAAATTTAGTACCTTATGGTGGGTGTAAAGAATCAATGAAAAAAATAAATCTCTCATTGTGCCAAGCTCTCGGAATGAAAGGGAACTGTGTGCATAATTATTCCCTACCCTCCCCATCTCAACTGATAGGAGCACTTTTCCATATGTCTAACTTGTGGTATTTTCGGCACTGTCATCTTAGGATATAGGATCTGTAATGGGGAAAATAAATTTTCTACAGTATGTTTTAAAACCGTGCAAACACTATTGGTTTAAAATGTGATGTGTAAGCTTTTGGCGTGGTGACTTACTATGAACAGAATACAAAGAAAGGAAGTTAAGGTTAAATTGCAGTTGGAAAAATAGTCTAATATGTATCTGAGGATATGGTTTAGATTTTATACATAGTCTTCTGCAACTGCAAAAATAGATCTTTATTTGCATTCTCCCTATATAATGACAGATTTTCAGTAGTGAATCAGAGAGAAGTAACGTCTTTGATGTTGGAAGTTGGGAGACTCGTGGTTTAAAAAAAACCCAACCACCACCAAACCAAAAGGTTATGCAAAGGGTCCTGACCTCAGAAGAGCTCTGAAAGTCTTGGGTGTGACTTTCTGTCCTCAGTTGTTAGAGATGTCACGTGCTGCTTCTTCAACAGGCACATTGAGGAAGATGAGGGTAATTTTAAGTAGGAAATCAACTGAGTCTGTAACATCCTTTTCATTATATGGGATTATTTTAAGTATGAGAAGTTGTCATAATACTTACAAACTGCAGACTCTAGCGTCCCAGCAAATAAACTGCCATGTGATTACTGTCCCGTGTAACGCTTGACCAGCGAGTGCTTTGAAAGCAAACACCACAGGGTATGTGGTAGGTGTTCTTTTGTGGCCTTCTGCTGGTGATAAAGGTGATATGTAGCAGAGGATTGGGTTTAAAAAGTTAAAATTTTTCTAACAATTTTTTTTTTTTTAGTTCTTGGATAAAATAAATCTTAAAAGGATGTCTTAAAACACGTTTTACGACATCCTTTTATAGTTACTGTTTCTCTTCTGCTGATTTGTAGCTTTAACCTTCTAAAACTGCTTGAGTTGGGGATCTTTCAACCCCTGGGAGTCTTGGCCCTGGGAGCACTTTATGTACAAACTCCTATCACCCGTTTTCCTTGGTAGCAAACCTGGTACTGCACTCTGGTATCGCATATTCCAGTGGTACATCCACGTTTCTTTGCCGTTTTCTGCAAAGGGTTAACATCTTGATACCAAATCCTGAAACCCTTAACTGAATTTAGAGGGTATGAATCATGATCAAAGTTATCTTTTATCACCACAGACTGACCTTCGGTCTGTACCAGTAAGATACTAAAAGGGGTTGGAAAATCGTTGCAGTCACTGGGTTCGTCCTGGTGGGAGAGCATGTTGTGTACTGCAGCTGCCCATGCACTCTTTCCTCTCCTCTTCCTCTCGGATGCCACAACCATCTCAGACTAATTCCACTAGAAGGATTTTTTTTCATAAAAATTTGGTGGGAGGCAGGATGAAGAAGCCAATTTTCCTTCCATAAAGAAGCCAAGTGGACCTCGCCAGCTCTGGGCAGGCTCTGGGGAGTCGGGATAGTTACCCTGGTTGCCAGCCCCTGGAGGCTGGGCGCAGGGGGAGCAGCCTGGCGCCAGCACGTGCCCGTTGCTTTCGTTAGTGAGCTCAGCAGAGGGGGGTTCCCGTGTCTCCAGCAGTGCTGCCCCTCAGGAGGGAGGTCACTGGACAGCACGTCTTTGTGATTACAGAGCGTTTCCAGCACTGGGCTTTTGTGGTTTTACTGGAATAAATGGTCCTTCTCTACCTGCTCTCTGGCAGTGACACTGTTCCCTTGAGTAATGTTTTAATTTGTCCATCTGCTGATCTCTGAAAAGCAGCCGATCCCTTGGTGTCCTCCTTGTGGAAACTGTCAGGTTTTCTGAAGACAAGACAACAGTGCGCAATTTAAAGGAGTCCCGTGTTTATAGTAGATGCTGTGCTATACTGGAGCTGAAAATTACTTACCCTTATGAATTACTCCTCCCTTATCAGACATACATTTTGGATTATAATTTCTGCAATGGTTAAATTAAGTAAAAGTAACAGACTTGGCAATTAGAAGTAAAGAGTACTCGCTGAACAGCCTAACGAGCCCCTTAATGTTGTTGTGCTTACAGTAAAATATGCCTTGTTTTATGCTGAAGTGACAGATAGAAGTCTGTATGCACAACTTCAGTGAAAGAATGTGGCCCTTTCCAGTAAGATGCGTTAAGTTCTGTAACAATTGGAGAGATTTCACAGGAAAAATGCAGAAGTTTTAAAGAAAAAAGATTGCTAAATGGAGATAATAGAAGCAGGGTACAAACTGTGGTATTGTATTTAATGTGAAAGCAGTTTTAAGATTTTTGTCATTGTGGTGAAGAAATGGATAATAGCAAGAAATGGGTCATAGTGTGGTGCTGGAGAAGTGACCTTCCCAAGGCCTCAGGCTCCATAGTTGGAGCATCCAAACTCTTCTTGATGATACATTGTTCTACTGAGCGGTACTAATGGGGGAAAGGTCACTTGATGCACATCCATCCGGTTCTCCTGTATTTGTGTAAAAAAAGGTTTCTACAGATACTGCATCTTCATGACTCGGCCCTTGTTTTTTCCATTTTCCTCATTGATGTTTTGTGCATAACTTCAGAAGTGCATGGGAAGCTGCTCCCCGTTGATCACCGTGGGAGCTTTTCAGCTGTTTGATACGAAAACGATGGCTGGGCACTATAGCAATTCAAGTCGTAGCTAAGAGAAGTCTTCTCTCTTGCTGATGAGTTGTAGAGCTGTTGGAGCTCGAGGCCAGAGTGAGATAGTCTGAGCCTTTGCTTTGTCTCTGCTACCATTGCCATGATCTTGAGAAGGCTTTCTATAGCCCCTGTGTGTTTTCCTTTCCCATCTGTGAAACGGGAAGAAAAACTTTCCTCCCAGCGTGACTGAATGGGTCTTAGAAATGTCTGTAGAAATTCTTTAGGCAGCAGAATTAAGTGGCACGTTTAGGAATAAGACAGTTCCACTGAGAGCTCAAGGAACCACAGTCATGGCAAATGCATTATTTTACTTTAAATACTTTTATAAAAATCCCAGACTAGATTATTGTATTTGATGTTAATTTTCTGGGGAAAGAAATGAATTGATCCTAAGTTTGTCAACAGCTGTCAGGTGACGCTCTGTGGATCTAGGTCTGCCCAACTGTTAAAGAACCTGCAACAGAAATCGGGTCTGTCGTATCATCGTAAAAACCTTCAGCTGTGCTGATGTGTTTTGAATTGCTTTTTCATCTACAAGAACATCTTTTGTGCCTCCATATGTTGTGTCAGTGTGTAAAGGCCTGCTGGGGGTTTAATTTTTTTTTTTTTTTCTGACCTCCTGGATATAGAAGCATCAGTAATCAGATTTTCCGACACAAAAATTGGTAACGTGGCACGTTTAAAATAATCTTACGGAGCTCTGAAATTGCTGTGGGTTAAAACCAGCCGGTGGTGCTCACAGTACGATGAGGTTGGGTAACGAACAGTTGTAAGTGTGTTTCTAGGGTGAGGAGATAAACAGATGTATAGTTAGAGGAAGGATATGAGAAGGATTTTGGAAGCTGGATGTGAAAATGAAAACAATGAGGAATACTGAGTCTTTTTTGAAGAGAGATGTGAGTAATAGCTATGTTTACAGTAGATGAATCGTACTGTTGAAAAACACTTTGTAGTTATATCAAGTCTCTCTGCTTTCCTACATACATGAACGTGTACCCATATTACGAAATGTGAGACAAAACAGATTTTTTTTTTTTATGACTCCATTTTGTCATTGAAAATGGTACTAGACCTGTGAAAGGGAGCTGTAATATTCTGAATTTTTCGTGTCAATAAGTGAGTGTAGTCTGGTGAAGAAAAGTGTGGTACAAAAGTTTAAAAGAAGAAACATTGGAAGGATTTTAGACCTTTCAAATCTATCTATGGAGCTTTGTTCCTACAGGAAAAAGAAAACCCACAATTTGTTGATTTACAATTTATTTTCAGGGTTGTTTTTTTTAAGATTATAGTTGAGATTAGAGTTGTGGGTTTTTTTTGTGATCATTGATGCCACATTAATTTTGAATGCTCCCTGATGAATCTTGCGATCTAGAAAGAACTTGGATTTCAGTGTGATGAGTTTCGTGGGAAGTTTTGTTTCCTACAGCAATTACATGGCAGTTTTGTTTCTGAGTCTTACCTGTCACGGGCCTCACAAATTTTGCACCACCTAGTTATTCACGCATAACCAGGGATACTGGATGTCTAGAATCCAGACAAAAATAAATTTCTACCTGTGAAAAAATGGACGAGTTTCCTGTGGAAAGAGCATCTCTTGTAACGTAATGTATCATCACCGTTGTTGCTGCAGAGAA